CACACACACACACACACACACACACACACACAGCCACGACTAAAGCAAAGTGACATGCAGCCTTCCTGAAGCAAAAGGCTCGCTGGCCTGGAAGGAATCGCAGACACCGAGGCCCCAATCTGTTAGATTCGGTTTCATCTCGGATCCTTCCGGGTGAGTGGAGATCAGGCTGTGCAAAGATCGCCCTCGAGTGGGTGGCTCGGTGTCCCCACCCAAGGGTCGAGGGCGGCAGCACACGAGGCCCCCCACACACCAGGCGAGGTGGGCGTCGGGGGAGGACACAGAAGCAGCCACAGACCCAGACCCGAGCCCCTCGGGGAGGCCTCAAGAGCCAGAGGCCACAGCAGGCCTCAGAGAGGAGGAGGACAGGACAGCCCAGGCTCTGCAGTGTCTCAGTGAGGCTGGGCCGAAGAGGCCAGAGGGAGGTTGTCCTGGGGACGCTGGCCAGGGCTGGCCAGGGCTCCTCCGGGACTCTAAGTTACTTTGACACCCCGAAAGTTCTGTGTGCTGAGAAGATGACTGAGCATTTTCTCTAGGAGGTTTTCAGTTAGTAGTCAATTCCTCAAGGTAAAATTTTAGAAACACTGTTTTCTCTTTCGCCTCACCAGGGCCTGGTGGCGCACACCCGTGATCCCAGCACTCTTCGAAGCTGAGGGAGGAGGATCTCAGGTTTGAGCCACAAGCCGGGCAATTTAGTGACTTAGCAAGATGCTGTCTCAAAATGAAAAAGGGCTGGAGGCGTAGCTCAGTGCGAAGGCCCTGAGTTCAAGCCACATTACCCTCCCCCTAAAAAAATTCTTCCAGGGTTTTATATTCAGCTTACAAATCTTATTTTTTTTCTACCTATAAGTAGAGCAAATTGCAGCTATCTCTTTTTAGTCCCTTTCAAAGAAACATTAGCCAATACTTGGTTACATTTGTAACCTTAGGAAATTAAGTCTTCAAATAGTTTAAAGTGTGTGTGTGTGTGTGTGTGTGTGTGTGTGTCTGTGGTGTGTGTGGTGCTGGGAATCTAACCCAGGGCCTCAGGCTCACCACACAAGGAAGTGCTGTACCACTGAGCTACACCCCCAAACTTCACTTTTGTTTTAAGGGCATCAATTATCTGATCAACAAAGCATTTAACCTAATAAATTATGCCTCTAAATACAATGGACATGAATATCCACTTGGCTGTATCTCGATAGTATGGCCATGATACATTTTAAATTAGAAAAACATGAATCTCATTTTAATAGATCAAGTTTTGTTAAATATTACCAGTATGCAGGAATACCAAACATGGCCTGCTCAACACAAAAATATTAATGTGATGGCTTTAATTATTTTAAACCTTTGTGTATGTCATCTAAGATGTCCCACAGACTAAAGGTATTTACCCAGGGAAGGGGCTGACCAGAAGCCTTGCTTACTGTAATCATCTGGTCCAGAACTGTTTGGTTGGGCAGAAGTTCTGAAGAGGAGGGCTTCCTGGGTGCTGCCTCTTACAACAACTGAGCAAAGTATTATATCATCCAAGGAAGCCTGGGATCGTCCACTCAGCGTCCCCGAGTCACGGGCTGCCAGAGGTCTGGGTGGTTTGGCGGTGGCAAGCTGAATGGACTCCTAGTGGCCACGTAACTTGGACAGGGATGGAGTCACATCTCCAGGCTTGAGCTGACAGTGGTCTGAATCGCACTGCCACTTGATTTCCCGATCGGACCCCTTCTTTGGCCCCTAGGACCTGTAAATGTCTCTACCACTGTAAGTCACAGGTTTTGCATCCAACAGAATCCAAAGATACATGCTCATATCTAAGCTACTTGAGCCTTTGTGGAATCCTACCTTCTTTGGCTACTGAAGGTTGGGCACCTCTCGTGACTTTAACTTATAGTCCCAAGGTATCGAGTCAGTCTACACACACCCCTCTCTGAGCCCCTATCCTCAGTGTCATGGAGTTGCTGAGAACTGTGAGAAAATGTGCATGAAATCACTCGTGAACCACGAAGGACTACACAAACATTAGTGCCTTGCATGGAGGGAAGCGTGGAAGAGGTATTTAGTGATAGAGATAGATAGGTAGGTAGATAAATGATCGATAGATAATAGACAGGAGAGAGAAGAAAGAGAGGATGTTGGTTTTCGTGAACCCAGAGAATGTGGCAATGAAGGATCACTTCTGGCAAGGCACTGAAGCAAATCGCACCGCCGACTGGACTGCGATCCACCCTGACCAATGGGCAGGACCCTTGCAGGCCCCATGGAGAGCTGTGCAGAAGCCACTCAGCATGCAGCTGCCCGGGCTTGGCGGGGCAGGCAGGAGCCTTCCGCCCTCCCGGCCCCTTGCACGCTCCTCCTGCCTGCCCTCCCGCACAGTTCTGCCCACCTGTCCTTACTGCTTAGCCTTGGCTCTGCCTTTAGAAAACCCTAATGGGTGCGGAGGGGAGCCAAGTGCTGGCTTCTGACGGGGTGACACCCTTGTCCAAACTGTGGCCCCGAACCTGTCCCACATGAGGTGTCCGTGATCTCAGAGGCAAGGACCTTTTCGGGAGATCAACCTGGAGCCTCCACCCACAAGTTAGGAGGCCCGGAGCACTCAGCCTCCAGCGCTGCTGGTTCCAGGACCCAGCTCCCCTCCATTGCTTCAGCCTCGAAGCAAATTACAATATGAATATACACCAGAAGAGTTTTTAAAACGAAGGTATGTGTTAAAGGCTTGTATTTAACAAAATTATACTTTGGGCGCTCAAAAACGCAATGTCGTGCAATTCTGTTGTTCAGAGATCAATTGCAAAATGTACAGAATAAGAACTCACAGCATCCCATTGGGACTGGGGCTCGGAAATCATGTGTCAGCTTAAACATGTACTCTCAGGTCCTGCTTTTTCACCCCTATTTGTGCCTTTCAGATAACACACAAAGAAAAAAGCCTCACTTGGAAAGCTTTTGGGTTCTATCACCAGAACCCACGGCCAAATGACCTCCCTGGATCACAAGGTCCCCGGCTCTAAGGGCGAGACTGTATGTCACGCAGCCAGTCACTCCACAGCAAGTCTGCATCCATCTCCACTGCAGGCTATGCTCCTCCAGTCCTGCAGTGTGGCGTCCACGCCCGGCACAGAGGTCATGGCCAGGGCTTCATGGGGCCCGGGAGGAAGACTGCAGGCTCGCCTTTAGGGTGACCTGGCCGGGGGCTGCTGTCATGCTGGGGACGCTGAGTTACTCACCAGGAAGTCACCTCTGCGGGACTCAGACTGCTCAGGGAGGGCCTGGGCCTGGCCTCCGATGGCAGCTGCCCCGAGCACACTTCCGGGAAGCCACTCCTGGGACATCCTTACTTCCTGCTCTCTGCCCAGAGTCTGGAAGGAAGATGAGGCCTCCTCGGTGGCAGCATCCAGCTGTGCCTCCCTCTTTCCTGGCCTTCAGCCTGCCTCACCCCTTCCACAGACTCTTCCCTCCTCCGGCCTGGGGTCTTGGTTCCCAGAGCGGGAAGGACCCGGCCCTGCCCACCAGCCTCCTGGCTCCACACCCATCGCTGGGTCTTCCGCAGATTGTCTTCATCCCCTGGCACAATTGGAGTTCCAGAGAGAGCAAACCGTCTGGGGAGCACTGCGTGGAGCCCCGGACTTCAGGCCCCGGCAAAGGGGAGTGCTCAGTAAGTGTTGCTTGAAAGAATGGAATCGGTCCAGGTTCATTTACAGCCCCTCATGGAAGTGTACTGGGTCTCAGGGAGTGTGCCTGGCACAGATCACAGATGCAGGCATTCGTGAAAAGTGGTTTCGTGCCACTTCCTGCCTGCAGTACCCCCCCCCTCCCCGGGCCGGGTGTCCCTGGGGAGGGTGGGGACACTCGGACTGCAAGGCCGCAGGGCTTGCCTGGCCTTGACTTGGTCGCCTGATCTGGCCTGCCCAGGCCCTTGAATCTGCACAGCAAAGCAGCTGCTGCCTGCTGTGTGGCCGGACAAAACAGATGCACGCCCGCACTCACACGCGGTGCCCTGGAAATCTAGCTCCCTGGGCGCAGCTGGCTTGCCCTGGTTTGCCAGGCCCACGTTACTCCGAAGCTCGCGGTCTGGCAGAGCAGAATGCGCCCTTTATTCTGTCACGGTCCCTGCTCCAAAGGCCCTCACACCAGCCGCGCCTGCTCCAGGGGCTGTGTTTACAGACCGAGAGCAAAGCTGTAAAACTGATGACCTTGCTGCTTCTGGAATCCCATAAAGAGTTTCCAGGCGGCTCCTCCCAGAGCCCGCAGCCAGGGCCTGCTGCAGGAGCCTGGAGCCGGCAGGGGAGGGGGCACCCAGCAGGGCAATCCGGCCACTCAGCCGCTCCCTCTCGGAGCTCCGTGGGCTGGGTCTAGCCCTGGGAACCGGAACCGGAACCGGAGGGGGACAGGGGTGGAGACACTGTCGCGTGGTAACTCGAGGTTCACGAGCAGCTCTGCGCTTGCGTGCAGCCTCTGCAGTGGAGCTGAGGAAGGACCGTGGGGCTTCCGGGGCTCCCTGTGCCAGGGCGAGGAGGAGGCAGCCAGGAAGGGGCAGGGACAGCCAGGAACCCAGGCGCAGGGCCGGCGGGCGTGGGGGACCTGGGAGGCCCTGAAGGGCTGAGCATGGGCGCGGTCAGCAGAGCTGCAGGCCGTGCACTGCCCGTGGACGAGTGTGGACGTAGAGCCGCCCGAGCACGCTCACTGCAAAGAACCCCATGAAACCATGCCTGGTGTGGTCTGCCTGGCCCTATCATCTGCCTTTTATTTCGCTCTTTAATTTATACACATTTTGGGTTTCTCACGTAGGAGAGACCATGCAAATCTTTTAGCCTGTTGCCTGATTTCTTTTAGCATTGTGGTCTCAAGGTGCGTCCATTTTCCTACAGATGACCTGAGTCTATCCTTGTTCGTGGCAGAGTAGTGCTCCACTGCATCTAAGCACTACATCCTCTTTATGCATTCATCTGTCGGTGGACACCTATACGGCAGGAAGAGAGATCTTTCGCAAATGAGGAGAGAACCAAGAGATGAAGAAGAGGGGAGGGGAGAGAGGAGGGGCGGAAGGTGTGTGATGCACACGGGCCAGCACCCCACAGTGAACGCAACCACGCACTCAAACATGGACTGAAAAAATAAAAGTTTGAAATGAGCCACAAAGACTCCCGACCCGACCCGCGGGCCGTGTGACCGTCAGTGCGTGTTGCAATTGGCCCTGAGTCTGGGGCCGACGTGCAGCTGTCCCTCACAGATGTACTCCCCCCCCCCCACATCGCTCCATCCTGCCTGCCAGGGACCAGCCTCTGGGTGACACAGCCGGCATCAGGGAGGAGGTGTCAGCGGCCGGAAGAAAGCTGAGATCCTACTTCCCTCCAAATGGGAGTGGGTGTTGCTATCCAGGAGGTCTTTAGCTGCTCCCGAAGTATCGCAGGTGATGATGGGCCAGAAGAGAACATTTTTTAACCCTCAGGGTAGGTCTGACATAAGGCAGGGGGGCAGACTACACAGTCCTCGTGTTAAAGTTTTTAGTTTGCTTGGAAATAACCACCCAGCACGATCTCCTGAGCACTCACTCCAAGCAGAGTGTTGGTCCAGCCCGGGGCTTGGTCATCCCTGAGCCAGGGCCGGTGCTTCAGGGGACAGCCACCAGCACCCTCCACAGAGAAGCTGAGACTCGGAGTCCCACGGCCGGCCAGCAGGGGGCAGGAGTCCACAGCAGGCGCCCCAGCTCCAGATCCAGGTGCTTAAACACTGTGCCGTTCATTTTGGTGAGCGAGGAGGAGGAGGAAATGTTCCCCATACTCCCAACACCTGGGAGCGACCACAAATAATTCTGATGTTTTTCGTAACAACACAGAGCTCACACTACACACACAAATGTGTGTCCTGCGCCTGTGTTTCTCAGTCGACACGCTATGGGTGTCTTCTGCAAGCGCCGGAAGCAGGCAGGCCACCCTCAGGATGTGCTTCGAGTCCCAGGTCCTCCCCTGCAGCAGACAACTGCAGGCGCTGTGCAGAGCGATCCTGAGTCCAGCTGCCCATCGGGGTGGGTACACAGGGCTCTTCCCGTGTTTGGGATTTTTGAGTTGCAGTGGATCCCACCTGGCGTTGTGGCCAGAACAGAGGGTGCAGAGCCCCCAGGAGGCTCGGAAGCCGGAGGGAGGGGACCCGCTGTCTGGAGCCAGGTGCCCCTCAGCGACATCCCTCCTGATCAGGCGCTTCACAAAGACAAGAGGACTACTTGCTTTCAGAAGGCTGGGATTCTGTTGTCTTCAGTAGCGGAGCCTTCTTCCGGAAGCTGTAAAATTTCAAACCTAATGCCTGGTAAACTCCTCTAGTGCTTGCGTTTCTTAAACTGCCTCAAGGCTGTAGCCGCAGCCCTTTGCGTTTTTTATTGTTTCTTTCGGAGCTGTGCGTTTGTGAGTCCTTGTGTGCAGTGTGTCAGGATCACGCTCATCCCAGGGAGTCGGTCCATGCGTGGAACCCACCCTAATCCCCTCTGCGTCCGCCCCCTCTCTCTGTCTCTCACTCCCCATCCCTTTCCCAGAAGACCTGTCTCTCTGCGTCCCACTCTCTGGCTTGCATTTTGCTCTGCTAAGCCGACCTCTCCTGGCCACCTGCCTCTTGGTTCTCACTGGGCTCCACCATGCCCCCCATTTCTCTAGATCCTCAAAGGAACAAAAAAGTCCTTAATCCCATAAACACAAAACTATACTTTTTTAGGAAAAATAATTGAAACGAATTTTTTTCCACTGTGATGGCTAAATGACCCAGGAAGAGCAGGTGGCTTTCCGTCTTCTGCTGCTGAGCCTCAAGTCAGGGTGGCCGAGCTGGACGTTAGCTTGGGAAAGGCCAGGCCTGACCATGGCACTGCCAGCATGCACCAGACACAAGCTGTGTACTGTGCACAGAGCTCAGTACCCAACCCTGCTCTGGGGCTCCAGGGACCCCTGGGAGGCAAGGGACCCTAAGAAGAGACAGCCAGAGAGAAAGACGGCCATGCAGCCACTCCTCTCCTCCCTGTAGTCCACAGATTAATGGTGCCCCGAAGACATCCTCATTCTGAGCCCTGGGACCCGGATGTGCCACCTGACATGGCGAAAGGAGGATGCAAGTGTTATTAAATTGAGAGCCTCGAGACTGGGTGACTTGGGATTATCCAAGTGAGTCCAGTCTCATCACATGGATCCGGAACAGTGAAGAGCACCCAGCTGCTCAGGAGGCTGAGGCAGGAGGATCTCTTGAACCTAGGTACTGGAGACCAGACTGGCAGCATAGTGAGACGCCCCCTTCAACTACACAATGCATCACAGGCCTGAAGACCTTTCTCGAATTCACCTCTGTCTCTGGCTTTCATTTTGGGTGGTGATGTGTCTGTGTAATACCATGCTGGACTCACTCTCTACGGGTATGGAATGAGCCCTTCCCAGCCTCTGATGGAGGAAGGTGTGGTCACCTGGGAAGGGCTAAGAGAGAGCTGCTGGATCTGAAGAGGGGAAAGAGTTGGGAGCAAAGCTCACAAGCCCAAAACTGGGAAGACAGAGGCTCGGCTCCACCACACACCCCGAGAGGAGCCGCCAGCATCGCCACTGCCACTGGGGAGACCCACTTGCCTGCCAAGCTGTAAAACCACAGCGAATGAGTCCGAGCAGCTTCATGGCACTGAAGTTGTGCTGATTTCCTACCGCACGACAGCGGCTCTGCCTCCACTCTCCACCTGCACGGCCATCAGAGTGGCGTTGCACTGAGAAGCCAGAGGGACTCCTCCTGTACAGAGTGTTGGCTGCTACTTCTATGCTTCTTTTCTTCCCAGAAGAAAAACACCTGTTTTCTCATGGTTGTGCAGTGACAGGAGAACCAGCCTAGTGCTCACTCTGCTACAGCCCTGCTGAGCACTCAGAGGTCTCTTCCAAGCCAGCTCTTCCTCGAGATCCAGTAGTAAAGATTCAGGGGGAAACGGTCACTCAGCCATTCAACAAAAACCCACCAGAATGGCTCAGACACTGTACCAGGCACTGGCAATGAAGAGGTCTATGCAACCTAATCCCACTGCTGGGCAAGTCAGGCAGATACCAAACACTGACTGGAGCCACGATATGCAGGATGGGAAAGATCACAGAGCAAATCCCCAGCCCAGTCTGGAGGGGAAGGAGAGCTTTCTAGAGGAAATTACATCTAAGCTGAAGCCCCAGGATTGGGGAAATCTGGCTAAGCAAAGAAGGGAAAGAATAGCAATGCAAAGTGTAGAGAGAAGAAAAACATGGATGGTATGGATAGATGGACAGATGGGTGGGTGGATGGGTGGACAGGTGGAGGGATGGGTGGATGGATGGGTGGGTGGATGGGTGGATGGACAGGTGGATGGGTGGATGGGTGGACAGGTGGAGGGATGGGTGGATGGATGGGTGGGTGGATGGGTGGATGGACAGGTGGATGGGTGGATGGGTGGA